TTTTTATTATTTTTAACTAACTTTTGTTCAGATTGTTGAGGAAAAAAGCACTGTAAGATAATATGAAGGCATCACAAATTTAAAGTCTCACTGGGTAAGGTGTTTGCATACAAGATGGATTCTAGTTATAGTGCAGGGTAAATTGACAGGATTTGATTATAAAAGATGGAACAGGAAGGAGAGGAGCAAAGGAAGGTGAGACCCAGCATACCTCATTGGTGAAGAATTGATTCTTATTTTCGTTTGTTGGTCCTAAAATCTTTGGCGGATGAGCAGGCAAGCTGGTGGCTTTTCCCCAGGCAGGGTTTGATGCTGCTGTGACATACATGGTATATAGAGGACAGGGCTCCCCAAGTGGGACCTTTGCTCAAGGGATTGAGAGGTCACAAGTGGCGTGTGAGGCATCAAGATGGGAGTGTGAAGGCTGGCACAGCAGCCAGGTGCTGCCTGCCTGGGGAAGGACCAGGGCTGCAGCTTCATTCCTGCTGACAGGCTTAGGGCCTTCCAAGGCAGCAGCTCTGCTGATGCTCTGGTGTCTTCTTGCTGAAACCACTGCAGAGAGCAGTCACAGCAGAGCTGCCATCCACCTGTTTGGGAAAGGGGGTGCTTTCTTTCAGCAGCAACCTGGGCATTGAGCAGTGGAAGTAAACTCTGAAACCACAGAGTGGGAAGTGGGGATGTGTGTCCAGTGCCCCTCTCATGGGATTTTTGTGCCACACTCTGGGTTAGTGTTGTACCAGAGAATCTCTCCTGCTTTCTCATTGCTCCTTTTAGGACAGAAGGGTCTGCCTTTGGCTGGTTCTACCTTCACCACCTTATCATATCTCATGAAGGTAGAACCAGCCAAATCCTCAACAGGCATTACCTGTTAGCAGGGGGTATTCAGTGTGCTTGGGTACTACAGACAGCATAATGGTCACTGGAGTGCAAGGGCTTTTGAGACAAGAGTGCTTAATTCACACAGCTTGTGTTTGTAGCTACAAATGTGCAGCAGACTTCACTTTTATAACTTATAGCAGTGCAAATAGTGATGCACCTCGGGAGCTTTGTCCAGATTTTCACCCTTTGTAAAGAAGTTACAAGATGGTTCCTATTTGGGTGTGTTACCTTTTGCCAGGTGTCTTCCCAAGCATCCCATGTTTTAAATAGTCGTCCATCTTGCCATGAATTATAGTGAGTCAGAGCATGGGTGGTGACTCACTGATACCAGTTGAACATTAGGCTCCTGAAGGTGTGACTCCTTCAGCTTTGACCAAAATACCCTGCCACAACATGAAAAAATCACTTGCAATACATTGCACATCTGCATAAGTGGCAAATTCTCTATGTTGCTGTACTGTTATGAAAAGGAAGCTTTTGCTCTTTAATGTTCCTTTTCCACCAACATATTTGACATATAGTTATTTTTGTTTTGGCATAACAATGCAGTTCTTTTTTTGTATCAAGTCACTTTATCTGATCTCTTTCTTGTATTGGGAGGACGAATGGAGGACAGAAAGACTTAGAAAACCCAGGGGCACAGAGAAATCCCAGGGAAAGGTTAGAAGCATTCTTTCTTCAGGTTTGACACTGTCAGCTCCCAAGTGGGATACCAGGGGATTCAGCCAGAGCAGTTATAGGATTTAATGGTTTCCCTGCTTGTAACAGATTAATCTACCCTTTACAAGTGGTGGTAGAGGATTACTGTCCAGTCTCCTGCCAAAACAATCTCCCAGTGCAGATTTACTTGGAGTGCCACTTGAACTGTCATCAGCTCTGCCCATCCCAGTGTTTTGTTCTGCATGGGAACTTGTCACTCCTTTCTCCTTGGAGCAAATCTGAGTGTCATCTTTGCAGGATGAAACTACTGGTGCTGGGAGCAGGACCTGCCATGGCTCTGGGCACAGCTGTGCCATGTGGGCACATGTCAGCTCTGTTCTGCTCTGCTGAGCCCAGGTGTATGTAAGGGCAGGGGCAGCACTGATGTTGTATAAAGGTTCCTGCTTTATTTCTAGCTCTTCAAAGATAAGGCTTTTCCATGGGGAATGAAAGGGGGAACACAGGTCTCTGGCAAAATCTCTGTGCTTTCAGCATGACAAAGCTTTGCTGGTTTCCTCTGCTGCTGTGTTAAGATATGTGGAGAGGGTATGCTTGCCATTAAATATGTGTTTTGTCCTATTAATGTCATCTTTACCTGAGGCTGCTCTTGACTCCAGCATCCATTTTTCTTCTTTCTCCTTATTCTCATCTCCCTTTGCAAGCTGAATGCCCTGGTGGCACCTACAACTGTCCTGCCAAATTTATTTTGGGTAACTGCTTCATGGTGACCTCTCTCTGGTTTGTGACAGCTGCCAGAGGAGAAACCAGGATATCATTCATCTCTTAGTACTGAGCAAGTAATTTGGGGTCATGGCAGGTTCTCCAGAATTGTGTATTAAAGCAATTGATATGTTTCCCTATTTGTGTATTTACAAACTGGGAGGGTTTTGCAGAGGGAGGTGTTTTGGGAAGGTCAGGGCTGCCTGGTCTGTCAGGAGTCTGCCCATGTGGAGGAGAATCAGCTCCGATTTCTGCTGGCCTGCAGTGAGCTTAGCAGAGGGCAGGAAAGGGCCAGATGCAGGGCTTGCGAGGAAATAGATGTTTTGTTTTCAGAGCAGCTGGGGAGTTGGACAATAGCCTCAAAAACAAACAAACAAGGGATGACTTGCAGATAAGTAATCAGAGGAGTGGGTGTGTTTTGGGCACCACTGAAGGACAGGCTGATAGACTGACTTTTCTCCTGCTTCTAAACTCTTGCTCTCTGTGCCAGTGTGCCAGAGGGGTTTGACATCTGTTGTCCTGGACTGAAATTTCACAACAGCCCTTGATGAGATTTTGGCTCTTCCAGCCAGGAGCCTTTGCCTCTGTGTAATCTGGTACTGCACATTCCCTGCCTGGGGCTTGTGTAAGGGCTGGCTAGCACTGGAGAGCAGCAGCAAGCTGTGAAAATGGAAAGGCACCACGATATCTCCCTTTTCTTTTTGCACTTGGAGGACACTACTGTTCCTCTGACATCAACTAATATAAAAACAAGTTATTGAATTTTTAAATCTGTTCTTGTATAAATATTAATATTTTTTTAAAACTTAATTTTTTATCTACCAAAAAATGGATTTATCAATTTTAAGCAGCATATACACCTTCTGGATTGTGAAAATGAATCTGGAGAATTTTAAAGCCTACCTCTGCCTCAGATGTATCTTCTGAATTTTGTTTTGTTTGTAGCTTGTCTGGGCAGATATTTTTGTTTGCTAGCTGGAAATTGGTTCTAGAATTGCTAGTATTAGTAATTGCATATCCTCTACTTGCTTCTGAAAAGTCAACATTTTTGGAGAGCAATCCACAGTGCCTTGCTGAGTTCTTTACTGCAAATTATTCATAGCTATCTGGTGGAAAAAATCCTTTCTCGTACTATGGTTCTTTAGTGCCTCCAGTCTGTAGGGTGAAAGATGAGACATATATGTCCCAACTTATACAAATCATGAGTGGGGAACTCAAAGTACATTTAGTTTAAACAAAAAGCCTGAGCCTGAGTGCTGGAACATTTCTTTCAGCCACAAAATTGCTATACCTCTTGGAGAGGTGTATATTGTAGCAAGGACATCTGTGGTGTTGGACAGAGGGCTGAGTCTTGCCTTGTTTGTGGAAGAGCTGTGCGTCATGGAAATGCTTAAAAGTGCAGTGCACCTAATTGAACTCTTTTGAGGGGAGTTTTTTTTGAAGTTGCATCTGACTTAAAAATAAATTGCATAGTTTTACTTTATGTTTTTGGCTATGAAACCTCAGTTACTGGTGTGAGAAGAGCTGCTACTATTACATTACACACAAACAGCCATTTATTCTGCAAAGTTTCAGTTCTGGAGGATCTGACTCTCCAAAGTTAGCTGTACTTATTTGTCATGAAAAGTGTGTGGCTGCCATTACCATCAATATTTGAACACTTCACAAACCACGGGCAAACATATCCTCCTACATTTATTCAAGGGTATAAGAGTAACTATCCACACTTTACACATAAGAAAGATTACATTTCATGTCTGAGGGCAATGAGGATGTTGGGCTAAAGCCAGGAATGCAGTCTGGTTCTTCTGGTTTCCTCTGCCTCAAAGGAAAATGGCTTGGAGTTTAGGGAAGCCTCACTAGAAACCTTGTTGTTCCTATCTTTCTCATGGGGATGAGGCAGTGCCCTAGTGCTATGTTGCCTGAAATGGTCCATTTCCCCTTTCTTTGGACAGAAGGGTTAATTTCAGTATTAGCACAACTTTATTGTGGCAGTTCAGATCCTGTCTGGTCTCTGAGCTGTGAAAAGTCCCTGTGGGGCTGCTGTCCCAAGAAGCTGCCCTGGGACTTGCAGCTGCTCTGCCAGGCCCCAGAGCTTGTCCTGACAAGCTGTGCCTTTACTCAGTCTTCATCTCCCTTCCACCACCTGGGGAAATCAAGATGCTTTTCTGCAAGAGAAAGCACTGTGACACTGAGAGCCCGGAGCAAAGGGCCATTAGGGGTCTGTGGCAAAGGAGCTGCTTTTCCCCGTGTTTCCAAGCAGCCCTGAGGAGATTAATTGGAGCACTTGCTCTGAAATTGTCAGGTTTGCTGCTGGTGGGCTGTGTGGGGCTCTGGTAACAGATGTCTGGGGCTGGGATGGCAAGATGCTCCAGCAGCACCAGTACAGGTACTGCCAGCACCTGATGGAGATTTCCCCTGAGGCTAACCTCCTGTGGCCTGGAGAGGGGAACCCTTGAGTGCTGGATATTGCCATCTTATAATTATAGGGATCTGATAAAACTCACTGAGGTAAATAAGTCTCCATGTTGGTGCTTGGGGTCTGGGGTTAGGCTTGAGTGGGAAAGCTTTCCTCTGCCTTTTCCTTGCACTTGGATTTAGCTTTGGAAAAAACTCTACACTGTACTAGTATGTTTTAACACCTCTGAGGTACTAATTTATTTCAATTTATCTATCTCTTTTTCTTTTTTTTTTTCTTCCAGTGGGATCTTGTTTGTGATTCTGCCTGGAAAGTCCACATTGCTAAGTTCTCCCTGCTTGTAGGATTAATCTTTGGCCACTTGATAACAGGATGTATAGCCGACTGGTAAGTGAAAAATCTTTTAATACAATGCAACTATAAATAAATAACAGTATTAAATATTGTTTTGAGTGCCTTCTACTTGATATTCATTAAGAACCTTTACATAATGGTTTTTAAGGCTCTGAAAGAATCATGATGGACAAACAGTGTAAAAGTGTGTTAATTGTTCCTGAGTAATTTAAATCAAGCTAAGTAGCACAAACTACTTGATATTTGGCTTACTTGTTTCCCACCGACACAATTTATTGCAGCTGTAAAGCTAGTCTAGAATTAAGTATTTCCTAATTATACAAGCAAAGCCTTTAGTTTAGGGTTGGATTTTATTTTCTTAACAAGGCAAGAGGACCAAAAGAAATTGGAAGCTGCATTGATTTCACTGAATACATGACTAATGTCAATCCTGTGCTTGCACAGCACCTTTTGGTGAGTTGAAGGCCATTTTTGCAAACCTTTCAATTGTTCTTTTTCTAGAGTTCTTGTTAGGCAAACATTGTGACGTAGTGTTAAGGATTTAACGCTGACTTATGTGCTGCTGGTATTGGGGTATTAAACTTAAAAAGAGTAAATCATAATTCCTTGTATTGAGGCAGTTAAACCATTATGGGATACCCCAATGGTGCTGAGGATTCAGCTTTAATTTCAAAAGGTGGTCTTGTACTGCTGAAGATTGGAGGAAAAATTACATAGATGACTCAAGTGATTTCAGTGGAAACTTGAAGCACCTGAAACAACACCTCTGCAGTGCTGTCCCAGTCACTTCAGTACCTCCCAGCACAGTTGCCAGTGTTGGTGCTTTTAATGGCCCCAAGTTAACTCTTTTGCCATTCATTAAAACAGGAAAAGAAGAAGAGTTGCCTATTAGGGAAAACTTATAAAACCTCAGCAACTCACCAGCCAGTTGGGAGAGAAAAGGCCCCCTGCAGCACTGCAGTAATTTGGATCAAGCATTCCTAGCAAAATTGCGTCTTAATTCCTGAATAGTCACTGAAAATTTTTGGGCAAGAGACAAATCACGACTTTTCAGTGAAGTAGGGAACATGCATGAAATACAGTTGAATTTGATTAAAATACCCCAGTAAAATGGGGCTCCAAGAACCCATAGAAAGTATAGAGGGGAAATGAATGAGGGATCTTGCTTGGCTTTCCTAAAATGGAATCAGTGAAGAGAAAGCAGACTTATTACCAAGTTAGGAAAGTGCTGCTATAATTGACAAATAAGCCACAAATAAGTGAACAACTTGTTGCCTAAGGCACTGGCTTGGAGAGAGAACTGCAGTAAGCAGATTTAATAGCTCTGTGCCACCAAAAGGAGCATCCTGTGATTCCATGCATTTCTGTCCCCAGTGTGTACTTTGTGCTGCCACATGAGCTTGTTGGACCCCTCTGCAAGCTGCTTAGCTGAGCTAATGCAGCATAAAATTACCCTGATTTTCAAATATCTAGAAATGCCTCGTGAATTTAGGAGAATTGGTTTCCAGCTGTGGTGCAAAGGAGAAAAAGGGTAACTTGGTGGCTGGAGGGAGCAGTGACCCTTTTGTGGATGACTAGAATGGACACGGTTTGCTGCCACCAAAGTTGGTCCTCATACTCCTGTTTAGTCCACATTGCCAGCTGATGCCCCTGACACAGCAGAACTCCTGTGCTCAATAAGTTTTTTGCTGTTTAGCATTAGCATTTGGGGCTGGTAAATGTAGACCTAAATGGAATTTAATTTGCTATTTAATCACAGCTTGAATTTCTGCTAAAGTGTGGGGTTGTATAGATTGTATCTGATAGAAAGAGAAAATTAAGGAAAAAAGATGTCACTCCCAAGCAAGAACCAGGGAGATTAAACAGAGTAATGCATAAAATGTGTTATAAAAATTCAAATTCTGTTTTCATTTCATTTATATAGCACTCTCCAGTTCAGATAATTAGAAGCTGTTTTGGGGTTTTTGTGCCATTAGGGGCTTTGTTTTCCTCTTTGAAAGAAGCTTTTAAAGCTGAATGAGGCCAAAGCATAGAGTGTATTAAGGCAATTTGCTAAGTAAACTGAGTGCTCCATGCTCAAAACACAGTAGGTGTGCACACTGGGACAGCTCTGTGAGGAAAATCTATAGGAGGAAGGTCTGCAAACGTGCTCAGCTGTGGGAAGGCCAGCTGTGTCCAGTGCCTGAATAAGTCACTTGTTCCACAGGCAGAGAGTGCTGCTGGCAATTCTGCCTGCTCTGGACAGAGCCCGTTGAGGTTTGTGTGGAAAGTTTCCTCCTGGAGCAGGTGGGCACGGTGTTCATGTAGCACCAAGACAGACAGTAGGTCTGTACCTCTCATTGCCCTGTAGTGCCCCTGCTTTGCTCCTGCTCTGATGCTTTTTGGAGCCTCTGAGTAGTTCCAGTCCCAAAGGCAAGAAAAGGCCTGCAAAGAATGGCATGGGAAGGGCAACTTGACCAGCAGTGAGAGCAAAGCTTGGTTATCTCTGGGTGACATGTGTAGGAGTGTGGGAAGAGCAGCTCTTCTCCTCAGCCCAGTCACTCTCCCTCTGCAGGGCAACTCTGACATCAGGAATATCTTTTTGATGTATTTGCTTATCATACCGTGTGGGGGCTGCAGATTCTTCAAAACCCTGGGGTTGCTTGTATCCCTGGTTATTTACCTGTGCAGGCAGCATTTAGCATTTTATCTAGATAGCAGCGTGCACTGTAGGTGGAGACTTCCATGCTACAGTAATCTCTCTCTGGAACAGTTTGGATGGCAGCAGATAGCATCCTGGGGCTGTTTTTCCAGGGAAAATTGTGTATGGTTTAATTTCTCACAAGCATTTCCATGTACTGTTAGACAGATAATTCTGTCTGCATATAAAAGGCGCTTTTTTATGCTCTGAGACACCATCCTGTCAAAACACTGCTGGATCACCAAATATATGGCTGATAGCTGCCCTGAAGCTTCAGTTTTTTGAGAAGCGTGCTACATGCCTTGGTGAAGAAGATGACTAGTTTTGTGCTTGTGAGGAAATGCCTCTTATCAGAGGGCTTTTCTGGCCTCAGTTGGTTTTTATGGGCTCAAAAGGCTCTTGGATTTTCTGATTTTTTTTTTCATTAGCAGCAACCATTCATTTGTGTCACTTGTATAATGGTAGAAGAACTTCTGTGTCCTAATGATGGGTAACCTTGAGTACAAGGGGTGGGAGGAGGGGAAGAAGGGAACTGAAGTATGCCAAGCATGAGGTCTTTTTCAATCAACATCAGGGAATGGCAGGTCAGGCTTGTGATGAGAATTAAGTTCCTAATTCTGAGTGTTTGCATAATGCCTTTCATCTGCAGAACACTTCCACAAATACTAATTGGTATGAATTACAGCTTGGCATAACAAAAATGGGGCTGCAAAAGTCTCTGCAGATAGCTGATAATACAAATCTCATAGGGTTTTTTTTTTTTTTTCTGTATTCAAGGTTTTACATGAGGTATTTCCCCTCCCTGCCCAAGGGCTGTGTTCCATAAATACAAAAACTGAAGCACAGGCAGCAGCCACTCCCCATGTCCAGCATGCCCCCAGTGTGTTGTGCATCACAGAGTCAGTGAGGCTGTGTTCCCACCCTCAGCCCCACTGCAGCTCACCTGCCAGAGGGCTGTGCTTGTTCCCTGATGGAGAGCAGCCTGCTTTGACCTTGCTTCCTTCAGCTTGCATGTTGGTTCTGTTTTAAAAGCTTTGAATGACTAATGCCAGCCAGTTAAATCTTTGAGGGGCCTCACAGGTGATACTACAGCTGAAAATAATAATAAACCTGTTTTCATGCAAGGAGTCATGACAGCATTTTCTTAGGTGTGACTTTGGAAAAGCCTGACTGATGACTGGTCCACTCTTCCAGCTCCCAAAATGCAAAAAATTATAATGATGTCTCTTTTTCAGCCCTTCACTCCTTATTTTATTTTAAGTACTGCAAAATCCAAAGTTCTAATTGTGAATGCATATGTATAATGTATTTTATAACTGCTAGTGACAATCTGCTGAAATAATTGAATAGAAATGCTACAGCATGTGAAACTGGACTAAGTTGTGAGATTTAAATGCTCTTTATTGTGCTGACATTCAACCTGATGGCTGGCTTGCAGCTGACAGTCTGCTTTGAATGGGTCTGTGAAAGCTGCCTACGAAAAGCAAGTTCATGTATTCTTTGTGAAAATGGCATATGGAGCTGACTAAAAGGGATCCTCAGTTCCACTGGAAAACTTGTGGGAGTTGACAAGTTGAAAAATTTTGGAAATCTCCACATAATGATCCAATTCTTGCTTAAAAATAGCCATGTGCTCTGGTGCTTCATATCATTCTCCTTGCATAGAAAGAGGGGAGAGAAAAGAGAATTATAAACACTAAACACATGAAAAAGAGATGGTAAAAATGTGTCCAATTCCTTGGACATGAAAGAGCCAAATTCTGCAGTGGCTGCCCCCACATCCAGTGGTAGCATAACTCTTCCTCCTCGTCAGCACTGTACCAATATATGCAACTACAGCTTGCAGCTGCAAAGGAGGGCTGCAAGTCCTCTGCCCCTGTTACCTCTAATGGTTTTTGAAGTGATTTATTCCTAACCCTACCCTCCAGTCAGGCTGGTTTTGTGGGTATGTCCAACAGCTATGGGGATACAAAGTGGAGGGACTTGGAGCTCACAATTTTCCTGTGAGTTATATTATTGACTCTGAGGCTCAGTGGAGTGACCTGAGCCCTGTTTTGTGTTCAGCCCATGTTTGTTAGGCTTCTCCTCAACAAATGAGACAAAGAAAGGTAGTCTTCTGAGCTGGCTGCTCTTGTAGATGAGACTGAAAAGCACATGTCTCTTGGGAAGAGGAAACCTCTACAGCTAAAAGTAATTATGCCATATAATATATAACATATCCTTCTGTGCAACTACAGAGAACTCTGGGAAGTTGATTTTCATCTCCAAAGGACTTATTTCTAGACTTACAGTAGTTCCTAGATTTATCTTTGTTGTTCGAAAAGGCTGGTTAAATCAAGCACCAATACAATGTGCTGTCTCTGTTTAATCCTTTCTGAGATGTACTTGTCAATGCAAAGCTGGCAGAGAAATCTGGGATTTAGTAAGAAAAAAAGGAGAAGAATGGAACAAATGTTAAAAATGGGTAGCAATATTTGGAAGGGATTGCCTGACTTGTTCCCTTCTTTGCCAGTTTTAATGATCCAGCATTATGTCCATCCTGGCTTTTAACAGTTTCTCCATACTTCCTTACTTTCAGGGTTGGTCGACGGCCTGTACTGCTCTTCTCTGTCATATTCATTTTGATATTTGGACTGACTGTGGCACTCTCAGTGAATGTGACCATGTTCAGCACACTCAGGTTTTTTGAGGGATTTTGCCTGGCTGGAATTGTCCTCTCCCTGTACGCGCTGCGTGAGTATTCCTTCACCGCCATACAAACGGGTTTTATCGAGTATGGGCTTTGCTGTTCTCTGGCTTCCTGCTTTTGTTCAAACAGATCAAACCTGAATCATATTGATTGCAAAAACTTTAGCCCACATTTTTCTAAGGAGGATTTTTGCAGCTGTCTATTTAGGTTGCTACAAAGCAGTCTGTGAAGCTGTCTCAGAGTTCATTTTAGAAGTTATAAGGTGGTTTGGGTTTGTCTGTTGTTTTTTAAACCTAGAAGTTACCTGGGTCATAGCCATAATGTGTAATGGGAGTAGATTTCACCCTGCAATATTGAGCTCAGTGGGAGACTGACCACTTTGGCTGCCTCTAGCAGTTTGTACTCTGGCACTTTTTCAGAACTTCCTCTATTACTTGCAGAAATATCCTGTGTCCCTGCATCAGGATTGTAAAGTTATAGCAAAAATATGTTAGAAGACTCTGAAATTCTTTTATCAACTCTCTTTATTTTTTGGTTGGGCAATTTTGGGTTTTGTTTGGATGTTGCTGTTGTTGTTTTTGTCTGTTTCATGAGGAGGAAAGCAATCTCTGAGAGAAACTTGAGGGAAAGCTTGTAAGAAATACCTACATGCTCCTATCTGAACTGAGTAGTAAACTAGTGGCCAGAACACTTGAAAACCCCCTCTTGAGGCCTTGCCTTTGGAGAGTGCATCCACAATGCCACCAGCCTATCTATGTCCCTTGGATATGTTCCAGAGAGCATCTCTGCTTCCTTGGCTGTTTGTAATTAACAGGTAGCACCACATCAACCAAAGAAAACATAAAATTTTCTCCTCCTTATTATGGCTCTGGAAAAGTATTATCTAATTATATCCTGGAAGTTGCTGTACGGATCTTCATAAAATTTTATTTACTTCCTATTGTGGATGGTATCTGACCCATCGAGATTTAGCACAGTATCCTTACTTTGCACAGAGTATTTTGTAGTGTTAAGTTCCACAGTTTTTGTTTTATTTTTGGTCTGTGCCATGGGGAAAGAGGCCTGACTGCAACAGACAAGAGTTTGTTCTGTATTGCACTTCACTGTTATACCTGATATGATACCCAAGATACTTGATTTTTTAAATTCTCTTGCTTTTGTTCATATAATCTATAGTGAGAATCTTACACCAAAAAATGAAACTACCACTGAAGACATTACACTTTTATTGAGAAGTAATATAACCTGTGTGGTTCCCATGGGCTTCAGCGATTACCAGTGTGATGTTGAGCTGGATAATCAGCTTGTCAGGATTTTTCACAGCCCAGATGGAGCATGTTAGTTTGTCTTACTTGATTAGGGGTTTTTTTCTAACTTTTAAGAGATTGCTACTGATGTTTTTCATGGGGAAATGCTGACTAAGTAGAAGTTTGATTCTGGACATTTTTATGATTGAAGTGAAAAAGCACATGTGTTGCTTTAGACCAGACAATAGCTTATCAGCCCAGGCTTTCATTCAGAAAATGGCATATTCTGGTTGCTTCATGCCCTACTTGGTCCAAAGCAATGATTTGAGTCTGCTCTTTTATCCCCACTCCCTCGAAAATTCAGGTGTTTGCTATAACCACTGCTGTCTGGATAGACAATGCCTAAACAGAGCTAGTAGGTGTTAGGAGAGATCTGTGTGAAATTAGCTGCAGGCTGAACATCAGCACACTTCTGTGGGGGTGAGAAAATGTGAAAGATGCAGCACCTGCGCCTCTGATAAATCTTCTGACCTTCTGTTTCGAGAGATGAGGGGAGTGAGTTTTTACTGTATTAAATAATTTAAACAAAAAGGAAGTTGTCACCTTGCTATAGAGTGCTTGGAGAGAAGTAACCCCTAAAGTCTCAAGAGAATGGGAGTTGTAGGGTTTTCTGTTTGGTGGTGGTTTTGGTTTTAGTTGTCATATAATCTCTTAGGCTTCCTCTCAGTCTTTACTTACTACTATCTTTCTTGCTGGTATCAGAAAAGTGTGTGAAGTACTATTATGATTCATAGCTTCTCTTCCCTTTCCCTTAATGGCCTTGATTTCTTCCCCTGGAGATTTGTTGCCCCTGAACTCCCAGCTGGCTGCCCTGAACAGAACAATAGAAAGTGGAAAGTTTGACCTGTTAGTGGCAGCCATTAGCCAAAATTTCCAAAGCTACTGTGCAGAAGAAAGCTGCATAGGCTTGCATAGCCTGCGATGGTAATTAGTCTGCCTCTGGGATCCTTTTACACTGTGTTGAGCTTGCTAGTTGGGCTTGGATTTATGGCCTGCCTGGGGGAAATTGTAAATAACAGTTCAGGATGCTTTGGGAGTGAGAAGAGCACCAAAGTGCTGTCTTTAAAACACAGAGCTGCCAAGACTGAGTTGCCTTCACCATCCAAACCACACACTTCTTCATAGCCTAGTGTGTTATCCATGGTGCAGAGTGTGCCAGGGATGAGCCCTGCCTTCCATGGAGGGACAGCATGGAGCTGCTGTGCTCCTCTGTGGGCTTTCCTCAGTGCTGTGCTGAGCTCACCTCTCATGGCCTGCAAGTACAACCTCTTCTTGCCTGGAGCTGCTCAGGGCTTATCTGAGGGAACCACCTTGGGATGTTGATTTGTTAAACTGAAATTTTGTCTGCAGCTGCCGTAGTTTTGTTGGAAGAGGTGTTTCAGGTGAAATTTTCAGTGAAGCTGCAGGAAGAGACAGGCTTTGTGCAGGTGATGGTGCTTGCTGTGAGGGAGGGACAGAGGAGCAATGAGCCCAGGACTTTCCCCTCCTGGCTGCTGTGAGTCCTTGCATCATCCAGGAGAATAAAATGCAGCAGATCCTATTCCACTGAGCAAACACATACAGCTTTGAAAGGCTTTTCTTTCATGCTGATGTGGAGCAGAAGGAGCATTTACTGTCTTCCAGAAGTGTTTTCCTGCCTGGAAACAGGTTTTCCTACCGGTCTTCATGGGTTCCTGTGCTTCTCAGCAGTTAGCACACATCTTGTATGGCCAGGGACCAAGAAGAATCCTTAGTGAGCTCTTCCCAGGAGGGTACAGTGTCTCCCAATATGCCACGCTCAGCAGCAATGTGATGCACAGAGCTGGTGCTGCCTGCTGTGCTATGCTGGGTGGGTCCCCTACCATTCTTGCTTAGCAGATTTCTGCAGTAACAGGCCACCTCTTGCTGGAGAAGGGTGCTGGGACCATTGGTAAAATGTCCTGGAGAGAGAAATGCTGAAGGGATGAAGAGGAGTGCTCTGGCCACGTGGCTTGGGGGGCATGTATGGCCTGCCCAGCAACTAAACGTAGAAGAGAGTATAGACTGGAGAAAGGCAGGAGAAAAGCTGGGTTTTTTTTCAGGGTGCCTTCTATCTGGTATTTGTTGCTGTGTGCATATCCCAAGAGGAAGGATGGGCATTGTGCCCCTGTTAGCTCAGATGGATGCATGGTGCCACAGCCTGCTGCCCAGCCAAAGGACAGGAGGTTTGACTTTACCCATTGAGGGGAAAGCCCTAAGATGGCCCTGAGAAGAATTGTCCTTTGGACAGGCTGAGAGGGAGAGGAAGAGGTGTGGGAGCCCTGAGCAGGGTCACGGGTGCCTGAGTAATGCCTCTGCTGGTATCTGTGCATTTGCAGCAGCAGCGAGCCATGCCAGTCTTACTGCAGATAGCTGTGCTTGCTGTTGCAACTCACGTGGGTCCAAGTACACTCAGCAAATGTGGAAGTCATGGGAGAGAGCAAATCTGATTACTTTGAGGGTGGGGAGGGTGTTGCATCTGGGTCACTTTCCTCTCTCTGGGTCACTGCCCTGAGCACAGAGCAGCCCTTTCCTGGGTGCCTGTGGGGAAGGGCAGATGCTTTGGCTGGCTCAGCACAGCTCCCTTCCTTAGGGCTCCTTGCCATCAGCTGACACCAGAGCTCTCATGGCTGAGGGCAGGAGTTCCCCCTTCACCCCCTCTCCTCTCACATGCTGCTACCCAAGTCAGGCTGGTGCCAGCATCTGCCTGAGCCCTCTGCCAGGCAAGCCATCCACCCTCCTTCCAGAGACCACCAAGGGTGCCAATGTCTGGGGATTGTGCCCTCTGGTCTCGTCCCCTGCTTCCTTTGGGAGATCTGCTGGGCACAGTGTCTCTGGTGCTGCCTGAGCCTGGGGGATAGAGTGGGACTGGGCGCTCACACTGGGCAGGGCCATTAAACGAGCAAAGACAAAAGCCTTTCCTTCCAGCTGTTGGTGTCCTAAACTGTATCTGTTTCACGGCCAGCATCCCTGCTTTTGTCACTTTCTGGAGCCAAAGCTAAAACTATTAAAGGGGAAGGAGGGGAAGCGAAGATATATTTTTCAGGCAAATGCTCCTGGCAGCTTTAAAGAGCTTCCCATTGAAGAGCTGTATGCTGTCGCTAATGACTGTACCTGAGCTCAGGCAGCACCAGCCCCGGTGTGGATTTGCACACAATTGCAGGCTGTTCAGCAGTTTCATGGGTGACTGAGCTACAGATTATGCTGCAAAATTAGAAAGTCTAGACTTGAATGAACTGGTAAATAAGCTCTGGAAATAGCTTTGCTAGAAAGAAGACGGCATCTAAGGTTGGAGCAAGGAAGCAGGGGTGTCCCTCCAATGCATAGTAGCAGAATGAGTGGGCATGTTTCTTCTCTTTCACTGTTGGGAGAAAATAGGTAGAAATACTGTTGATAATCATAGGTTGTGTTTCAAAAGCCTGTAGAAGCTTGGCAAAAGCTTTCAGACCAGTGAGGATGTCCAGCGCTGATGCATCTTTCTCATTTATAGCTAGGTCATTCTAACCTGTTACTCCTGCAGATTGCACAGGCAGTGATCTGAAAGGCTAAATGTGGCTTCTTAGGATTTTTTTTTTTTAAATGTGTGTCCTGGAAAGCTAAAGCAGAGTGCTAGAAAGTTTACCGCTGACTGAAGAATGAGCAAGTGCCAAAATGGAGCAGCTCTGAGTGTTGAGCTGCAGTGATGTCAGATTTTTAAAATACTTTTGCTTCCAGTCAGGTGTTAATAGAAAGAGTGAGAT